CATTTAAAACAAAAGATTATTTTTTTAATGAAACTCAAGATGCCCTAACCCAAATTAAGTAAGTTTAGAGGCTATAAAGGAAGGGTTCTTGTGTACGAGTACCTAATAATAATGATCACAAAGGACTCTAGAGCCTGATCCCATAGACCTACACATTTTTCCTAACCTCCCACATAGATAACTTGATCTGTATGATTTTGAGTTACTATCTTTGTGTTTTCCAGAGACTGGCTGTAATATTAATTGCTTTTGTGATGATTGTTTAAAAAAAATTAATGCTTTGCTAAATTATTTTTGTCTTAGCATGATATCTACCCTATGTCTGCCTTGTCCAAACACCCACCAACTGCCACTATGGTGATGTTGGATACACTTAACTGTCCATGCCCCATCTAACAGAGAACAAGAACTTTGGGTCACCTCCCCCAACTATGACTTTTTTCAGAAAGAAGCAGCTTCAGATGTCAACCACCATTTTCCCATGGAAACGGAGAAATAAGACAGTAGGAAAATTTAACACTGGTCCATTTTATGCTTAGAATGTAGTACTTGCTCCTCTAAAACTGACATATTTGTTCTCCTTCCTAATCTCAGAAAAAAGGATTCCTCTAAATCATCTCTTTTTAAAAAAAGCTCATTTCTAACTCTAATGGGCAGAATCACAGTCTCTGGGACAGGAATCCCTTGTCTCTTGTTAGCAAAGCAACAAAACTTCTTCCTTTTTATCAAAATCTTGTCCTCATTATTGCATTGGCATTGGGGACAAGAACTGAGCTTTCGTCAACAAAATTATAGGTGTGTGTCACCAGGCCTGGAAGGTTTTTTATTTTTGGCATTGCTAGGGGTAGGGATCAAACTCAGGGCCTTTGAGCATGCTAGGCAAATGCTCTACCACTCAGTAACACAGTCCTATGTGATATTTAACTACAAAAACAAAACCAAAAACAACTAGGGAGGATAAATAAAGAACTGGTATAAAAGGATCCATAAACTGAGATACTTTTTGCACTCAAGGAGTTTAGGACATGTCATCTCAAAATATGCCCAACAGGTATGCTGATTATTTGAAGCTAAAAAGTCACTGGAAGAATTGTGATTTTCTCCTGCCTTTTCCTACACAGAACTTAAAGATTTCAGTAGGAAGGGATGTCCTTCACCAGCAAGACTACAAAACAATATTTATCTCTCCTTCTCTTACACACGCTTCCATATATAGTTCCATATATAGAGAATGTACCCTCCTAGTCCAGACCTCCAAGGTCAAAACCTCCAAATGCAAGGGCCCCAACTAATTAATCTGACTTTGACTTAAAATTTTGATTTTTCTTTGTAGAACAGTGTATTTGTTTCATCTGTTCTTGAGATCTAAAAATTGAGCTACACACTCAAAAAGGAGAAAGTTTATTGACTTTCAAAGACAATCCACTCTAAATTCATAACAGTAATGTTTTGATTTCCATCTGAGGCAAATAGCTGTACCCTGATACACAAAGACTTGTGAAAGAATAAAATTAGCGGCTGGGAGGTATAGCTCAGTGGGAAAGAATTTGGTCTAGCCTGAGACCCTGCGTTCAATTCCCAAGAATGCAAAAAGAAAGAAAGAAAGAAAAAGAACTGATGGTGTTCCTCAGTAGTAGGGCATTTGCCAGCCATGTCTAAGGCCTCGAGATCCGTCCCCAGTATTAAAAAAAAAAAAAAAAAAGATCAAGGATCAAAGAAAGAATAATGCGATCTCAAAAGAAAAAGAGATAATACAATCTTATGGACAGGTGAGACCACTGGAGCTACAAAACCCATGTTATAGGAACTAAAGGCAACTGTCTTTGTCTTGAAAATTGTCATTACAAAAAAATGTACTTCTGAATGCTATTTAAAGCCCACCTACTACCTCAGAATGCCTGCAGGAACTGGACAGGGGATAGGACAGGACATTAGAAAGGAGATTGTCCTGTCCCCTCCCGCCAACAACAGAAAGGGGAAAAAAGTATAGTTTGCTCTAAGCACTAAGTAGGAAAATATATTTCCTCCTAAATTCTTTACCTTGATAAAGACTTAACAGTATTTCCCATTTCATTCTGATTTTTACTGGGCTTTACCCATGTTAAGATGGTATTCTTCCAACTGAGCTATTTTTTATATTTCAGACTGGGTCTGAGTTGCCCAGGCTGGCCTTGAACTAGCTACCCTCCTCCCTCACATTCCCAAACAAGTGGAATTATAAGTGTGTGCCACTGTGCCTTTTTTTTTCCCCTTCTGGTATAGGGAATTGAACCCAGGAGCGCTTAACCTCTGAGCTACATCCCTGGTCTGATTTATATATTTTTTTGAGACAGGGTCTCACTGAGCTTCTTAGGGCTTTAAACTTGTGATCCTCCCAACTTGGCCTCCTGAGCCATTATAGGTGTGCACCATCACACCTGTCCTGACTTGTTTTTAATGAATTTTGTTACATAGCACTGGTGAGAGATGGCTAACTCATACTTTTTTTCTAGGCAAGACTACATCCCACCTGGTTTTACCACAGTCCCACTCCTGAGTTTTTCTTATTCTGAATTTGATTTTCATTGCCTTCATATATCATTGATCATTGTCTAAAGCCTCAATCAGGTGATATTATGAAAAGGGGTCCACAGTAAAAAGGGGCCCATCTCAGTCTGAAAAACTGCCCTAAGAAAAGGTATGGAGTCTTCTATCTTTTTCCTGCTTTGAGAGTTACACTTCAGACTGACAAAATATGCCTGAGTACAAAGAAGGTTAAGAAACAATACCCATCCGGATGAGGTGATGCGTACCTGTAATCCCAGCGGTTTAGGAGGCTGAGACAGGAGAATCATGAGTTCAAAGACAGCCTTAGCAATGATGAGGGGCTAAGCAACTCAGTGAGACCCCTTCTCTAAATAAAATACAAAATAGGGCTGAAGATGTGGCTCAGTGGTAAAGTGCCCCTGAGTTTAACCCCCAATACCAAAATCAAACAAACGAAAAAACACTACTCTAGTGATCCTGTTATACATTCATTTGAAGAGCTGCTTTTCAAATCTCTGACTTTTGGCTTCATCTTCATGAGCCCTACTTTGTTATACATCCAGAGGAAAAAATACAAGGCTTAGAGAACATTTAGAAAGCACATAGATAATCCCTTCCTTTTAGTTTAAGTTCAGCACCCTATATTGATATTTGGCACCACCAGGTGGCAATCTTATGGTCTGAGAGAATACCACAGAAACTATAAAGTTGCAAATCAACTTGCAAATAATCTACTTTAAAAAGTTCAGATAAGGGCTGGAGCTTATCTCAAAGGCTGGAGCTTTGCCTCAAATGTGTGAAGCACAGGGTTCAATCCTCAGCACCACATAAAAATAAATTATTAGATAAAGGTACCGTGTCCATCTACGACTAAAAAAAAAAAAAAAAAAAAACCCAAAAGTTTAGATAAGAGCCCAGAGTGGTGGCAAACTCTTTTATTTATTTATTTATTTATTTTTAGTTTTTGGCGGACACAACATCTTTGTTTGTATGTGGTGCTGAGGATCAAACCCGGGCCTCACGCATGCCAGGCAAGCGCGCTACCGCTTGAGCCACATCCCCAGCCTGTGGCAAACTCTTATAATACCAGCATCTCTGGAGGCTGAGCCAGGAGGATCACAAATTTGAGGCTAGCCTTAGCAACTTACTGAGACCCTATCTTAAAATAAAGAATAAAAAAGGGCTGCTGGGAGTGGTGGCACATGCCTGTAATCCCAGAGGCTCTAGAGGCTGAGATAGGAGGATCGCAAGTCCAAAAGCCAGCTTCACCAATGGCAAGGCACTAAGCAACTCAGTGAGACCTTGTCTCTAAGTAAAATATAAAACAGGGCTGGAGATGTGGCTCAGTGGTCAAGTACCCCTGAGTTCAATTCCTGGTACCAAAAAAGAAAAAAGAAAAGGGCATAGCTCAATGTCCCTCAATCCCCAGTACCATAAAGGAAAAAAAAAAAAAAAAAATCAGAGAAGAGCTGGGGACATAGTTCAGAGTTAGAGTGTTTGTATAACATTCCAGAGGCCCTGGATTTGATCCTTTTTTTTTTTTCTTTTTCAAAGCCAAGGACCAAACTCAGGTCCCTGTGCATGCTAGGCAATCACTTTGCCATTGAGTTAAATCTTTAAACTCCAGATAACTTTAAAGTTGTTTCCCCAGTCTCTTGTCTCTTATGCACTTTTTACAGCAAAGAGCCAAGCAAGGTGGCATATACCTGTCATCCCAACCACTAGAGTTGACAGGGCTACCTGAAGCAGGAGGATCGCAAGTTCAAAGCCAGCCTCAGCAAATTAGTGAAGCCCAAAGCAACTTAGAGACCATGTCTCAAAATAAAAAATAAAAAGGAAAAGGGCTTGGGGCCTGGGGTTGTGGCTCAGTGGTAGAGCGCTCACCTAGCAAGTGTGAGGCACTGGGTTAGATCTTCAGCACCACATAAAAAATAAATAAATAAAGATATTGTGTCCACCTACAATTAAAAAATAAATATATATATAAAAAGGGGGGCTGGGGATGTGACTCAGTGGTTAAGCACCCCCTGTTCAATCCCCAGTACCCCAAATAAACAAATAAATAAAAAGTGTCAGCTGGGCATGGTGGGATAATACTAAAATCCCCAGTACACCTCCCCTGCAAAAAAAGACAAGCAAGATATACCATCAGATTCTTCTTCTTCTTCTTTTTTTTTTTTTTTTTGGTACTGGGGAATTTAAACAGGGGCACTTTACCACTGAGCCACATCCTCAGCCCTTTGTATTTTTTACTTTGAGACAGGGTCTTGCTAAGTTACTTAGGGTCTCCCTAAGTTGCTGAGGCTGGCCTCAAATTTGCAATCCTCAGCTTCTTGAGTTGCTGAAATTACAGGTGTGTGACAATGCACCCAGCTACTATCAGGTTCTTCTTATGAGAAAATAGATAAGTGCCATCCATTATCACTGCTTAATAAAAATTAAGAGTACAATAAGAAAAAAATCAGGACTCTCTCTATAGAAATCTTCTGGTCAGTTCTTTTCTAAAACCAACTAGAATACAGGGTAAGTCCCATAGCAACATAAGACATGATATGCCTTAGATACATACATACAGAATATGTGTCTTAACAAATTTAGAAGAAAAGCATAATTCTAGTTATAGAAATGTTATTTTCTCAAATTATTCTTTTTTCCAAATTAGATTCCATCCCAACTGCTACTTATACCAGTGATTCTTTCTGGGACCAAGCTGGAAGACTCTCATTCCATTAGAAGAATCTGGGGTACTTGCTGACATAACAGGGAATTAACAAAGAGAACATAAATGCCCTCAAGCACTGAAGAATTCTTTAAAATTTGAATATGTAGAGAACACAGACCAAGGGTATGCTCTGATTTTCCCATTTCTGAAAGTCACATTTTAAGTTAAAACTTTCTGATGTATCAATGTCCATTTATCAAGACACCATAGAGATCAAATCACTGATCTTCTCAAAAGGAGGATTTCTGAAAAAAAAAGAAGGTCTTCATAGGAGTATGTCCGTCCTTCCTTTTCTTTCATTTTTTTGCATCTTAAATGTCAATTATCACAAAAACTTCTGGCTTCTCTTCATTATAGACCTGCATTGCTGAATATGTTATTGCTTTGACTTCCGTTCCCTGAAGATGGGGTTAGAGAATAGAAAAAAAGAATCAGAATTATTAATCTGAGCAACAACTGTCAGAAAGTCAAAAATTTAATACTATTCTGAAAAATTAAAAACCCACATAAAACAACTAGTTATCAAATTAAGACAATATTATATGCTGATCCAATAAAAAGGAGAGGGAAAATGTACACAGCAGAAGGAGTACTGACCTGGAGTTAGGAGAGAAGTGATACCACTTGGGCAAGGAAGGTGCCTGACCTGTCTGGACATCCATTTTTTCACTTAAACATGGGTTTAATCAAAGAACACAAGCTTTTCCACTCTTTAGCTAGGATTTCTCCTAGTCCCTAATTACCCCCTCATTCTCCAACTTGTGCCCTAGAATGTCAATGTATTGTCTTCTCCTCAGCTGCCAATATTCACTTTACCTTTGTACTTCTCTTCAAGTCTAGCTGGAAAGTGAGATATAGCTTCTCAGGTGAAAATTCTCCACATGATTCTGATATATGATACTCCCCTCACCTTGCCCCAGTTTAGAACCACAAGATTAGATATTCTCTCAAGTTCCTTCCAGCTCTAAAAAGAATCTATAATGGTTCTGTGTATCACAAAATGTACTTTGACTTCTGTCATTTGCTAGCTCAACAGCACATAATAAATTCAAAGATTTCATAGGGTATGAGTGGCATTACCTTTGCATTTTCTCTTCTGCCATAAGCACCTGGAGAAATCACCACCTACATCAAATTTCATTTTCTACCATAAGGCAGCACATACCAGGCTGACTAGTAATACCCTCTGTGTATATCTGCAAATCTCAAACAGGCATTCAGTACTGACCACTTATTGCTAAGTTTCCTTTGTCCCCTTCACTCAGAAAATTACTTCACATCTTCTCCAGCATTCATTCTCTTCTTCTTCTTCTTCTTTTTTTTGTATTGATGATTTAATGCAGGGGCACTTAGCCACTGAGCAACATTCCCCAGCCCTTTTTAAAAATTTCGTATTTTTGGCGGGGGTGGGGGGTGGTATCAGGCATTGAACTCAAGGGCACTCCACCACTGAGCCACATCCCCAGCTCATTTTTGTACTTTATTTAGACACAGAGTCTCATTGAGTTGTTTAGTGCCTTGCTTTTGCTGAGGTTGAGGCTGGCTTTGAACTCATGATCCTTCTGTTTCAGCCTCCAAGCCACTGGGATTACAGGCATGCACCATGGCGCTTGACATATTCTAATAACTGGAGAACAAAACTACCATGCTAGAACATATTATCGCCCCATTCATGACAGTATTCCCCTTCTAAAAGGGGCCCCAAGGGATATGTGATGGTTGGCCCCTCTTAGGTCTCCTTAAAATGTCATGCTATGTCCTGAATATACAAGTTTACTTTGGAAAAATCTAGTGTGATGTTTCTATTATTAATAAATACATTTTCAATTCACTGCCCTTCTCTACTGGATTCTCTCTTTCCCTCTTTTTTTTTTTTCCCCGAACTGGGAATTGAACCCTAGGGGTGCTTTACCACTGAGCTACCCTAACCATTTTTATTTTTTAATTTTAGAACAGGTCTCTATAATTGCCTAGGCTGGCCTCAAACTTGTGATCCTCCTGCCTCAACCTCCCAAGTTACTGAGATTGTTGCTGTACACCATTGCACCTGCTTGGTTTCTCTTCTTTTTATGTTTCTCTTTCCTTTCAACCTTGTTGAAACAGCTACTATAACACAAGTTCCTCATCAGAATTCATTTCATCATACAGCAGTTGAAAAAATGATACCGTGGTTACTGGAAGCAACCAGGATTTTCCAGTCATCTGGAACTAATTTAGGCTTTCTTGGCCTAAACACAAGGGTCAGCAAACTACAGCCCATTGGTCAAATGTGGCCTGCCATGTATTTTTGTATAATCTCACAAAATAACAACGGTTTTAAATCTCTAAGTTAAAGCCAGTCACAGTGGTGCACGCCTGTAATCCCAGCCACTTTTAAGGCTGAGACAGAAGGATCCAGAGTTGTGGGCCAGCCTCAGCAACTTAGTGAGGCCCTACGCAACTTAGAGACCCTGTCTCAAAATAAAAATCAAAAGGGCTGGGGATTCTGGGCCTGGTGGTGCATACCTATAATCCCAGTGACTCAGGAGGCTGAGGTAGGAGGATTATAAATTCAAAGCCAGCCTAGGCAACTTAGTTAGCAAAGCCTTAAGAAACACAGTGAAAACTTTTCTCTAAATAAAATACAAAAAAGGGCTAGGGATGTGGGTCAGTGGTTAAGCACTCCTAGGTTCAATCCCTAGTACCTCAGCAAAAAAAAAAAAAAAAATTCATGACATTAGAAAGTGATATGAAATTTAAATTTCAAGGTCTATAAGTAAAGTTTTAATGCAACACAGATACCCTCATTTATGTATCTTCTATGATTTCTTCAGTGCTGTAACAGAAGAGTTCAGTGGTTGCTCTTCCATTGCTCTTGGCCTACAAATCCTTTTTTTTTTTTGGTACCGGGAATTGAACGAAGGGGCACTCAACCACTGAGCCACATCCTCAGACCTATTTTGTATTTTATTTAGCGACAGGGTCTCACTGAGTTGCTTAGCACCTCGCCATTGCTGAGGGTGGCTTTGAACTCTCTGGATCCTCCTGTCTTCGCCTCCTGAGCCAGGGGGATTACAGGTGTGTACCACCATGCCCAGTTTGGCCTAAATCTTAATATATTTACAGAAAAAAAACTCCCAATTCCTGTTCCCAGAGGTTTAACTATTACAGAGTAAGTGTATACAGGTTGGAAAATATAAAAGGTAGAAAGCACTTTAAGAACAATCTAGTCCTATACCTTCATTGCAGAAGAAACTACTGCTCAAAAAGGCAAATGAACTTTTAAGTCCCACACATTCTATAACAAACCTGGCCCCAGAGCCCAAAGCTTAATCCTAACACATCTAATCAGATGTGTAAAATCACAGTGCTTTAACATATCCAGAGGTCAGAAAGTTTAAGAAAACCTTATCACATCAGAACAATTATTAGAATTAGTTGAAGATTATTGTCATGTTTACAGATTTTATGATAAGGAAGCATAAAGTTTTCAATGGGTAGACTTTAAAACATACCTGAGGGTGCTTGGACAATGAAAATTCTTCTCCCCACCTTGAGAAGTAAAATTAAAACATGATTAAGATTTCCAAAGTTTTACATTTGTTCTCTTTACATATTTTAAAATAAGCCTTATAAACATGGTTCAGATAGTAGAGATCCAAAAGAAGAGGGAAGGGGTAGGGAAGCTAAACAGATTTCACTTTGATTTGCCAGCAAATACAGGTGTGGAAGGACTTGTATAGACTAGTCATTGTTGCTCTCAAGCTTGAAAGCTGCCCCATCCCCAAAAAGCTCCAGTATAGTGCGCTTATAGGTAGATTCTCAATAAATACTGACTAGTGAATATTTTATAATAGGGTGCCATGTTGAAAATTTCCACTGCACTTAGAGCTATAGAACCAATTAAATAATATCTTCCACGGAGAAAGCAGGTCTGAGTACCACAAACACAAAATACTTGATTCTGCAATATAGTCTGAGCTTGATTTGCATTTTATAACTTTTCCCAAAATATCTATAGTCTGTATACAGAAAGCCCTAGAAAGATACTCTCCTAGAACTTGAGAGAATTTTCTTATCTACCTTTGACAGTAATGAGGCTAAATATCACAACATGGTACAGCAGAAACAGCAAATCTTTAAAATTCTGTTCAACTACTTCCTAGCTAAATAATTTTGAACCAGTTTTTTTTTTTCTTTTTTTAAGAGGATACCATAAATATATACAAATACTCACCATTACATTTCTACTAGACTATTTACTAGAACATGTCTAGGTTACTACTTTTTCTACTACGAATTATATATACCTTTCACACATGATGTTGAGAAAACATCATAACAGTAAAGGTAATTTTAACATAATGTTAAGAGTTAAATGTCAATTTGCCTGCCAGGCTCAGTGGCACACACCTATAATCTCAGAGACTCAAGAGGCTGAGGCAGGAGGATTGCAAGTTCGAGACCAGCCTAACAACTTAGTGAGAACCTGTCTCAAAATAAAAAATAAAAAGGGCTGGGTATGTAGCTCAGTGGTAAAGCGCCTCTGGGTTCAATCCCCAGTACCCCCCCACCAAATAAAGTCAATTAGCCTAATGTATGCAATATTCCACCATTTCACAGAGAAAAATCTCTGTACATATGCTTATGTGTGAGCAATAAAATGTGTTGTAGGGATAAAAGAAAAAGGAGAAGATAATACAAGACCTCATTTTATAAAAAGAAACTAATAAGATTCAATATGAAATGGTAATGTTAAACTATATATAGATAATCTAAAAGATATAATTAAGTGACTAAAGAAACAAGTCCAGTTAAAGTCACCTAATCGACTGTTTACAAACTCTGGAAGGAAAATAAAAGAAGAAAAGTATAATTTGTATAGAAGAAACTGATTTGAGTGGGTCTAGAAGTTATGAGCTGTGTCAAAAGATGTGCCAGTGTTTCTCATCCACCAAGTTGGGGGTTTAAGCAGTGACATTTAGCAATTTTATTTATATATACATATATATGTATGTATAAACAAGCTATACACACACTCACACTTCCCCCCCCCCCTTAATCAACAAATTTGGAATCAAGCTTAATAAACAGAATTAACTTTATTCTGACAAGTTTCTGATCCTCCAAAGTTCAGATGAGTTCTTACTCCTTGGTATCTCTCTCACAATCTCAATATGCAACATCCTGCCCAGTGTAAGTGGTCCCCTGACTTAATATTTCTATTTGTCTTTCTGCCCACTGAGTACAATGAAGAATATAACCAACATCCTTCATGACCTGTTACTTTTAGAAAAGTTTAAAACTTACCCAATTGACCGTAATTTAAAATTTCTTTGATCAATATTAAGTACTTTCACTTCCTAAAGAAAAAAAGAGATTTAAATTTAAAAAAAAAAGTTTATACTAAACTATCTACTAAAACATGTCTAGGTTACTACTTTTTCTAGAAAATAATGGCAAACAACTTCTCTGAAGCAAAGAAAATTAAAACAGAACAAGCTAAATGCATTTCAAGGAAATAAGGTTTTTCTTAACATATTCAAGGGCAATATTCTTTTTTTTTTTCCTCCTGGTAATGAGGACTGAACTTAAGAGCACTTACCCAGCCCTATTTTGTATTTTATTTAGTGATAGGGTCTCACCGAGTTACTTAGCACCTCAATGTTGCTGAGGCTGGCTTTGAACTCGAGATCCTCCTGACTCAGCCTCCCAAGCCACTGGGATTATAGGCATACGCCACAGCCCTGGCACAAGGATGATATTCTTTTTTTTAATATTTATTTTTTAGTTGTAGTGGGACACAATATCTTCATTTTATTTATTTATTTTTATGTGGTGCTGAGGATCAAACCCAGGGCCTCGCACATGCTAGGTGAGCACTCTATTTTTTGCTGAGTCACAACCCCAGTACAAGGGTGAGGCACTGGGTTTGATCCTCAGCACCACATAAAAATAAATAAAACTACTACAACAAAAAGACATTTAAAAAATGACTCAAGGGGTTAAGGTATAGCTCAGTAGTAGAGCATGCACTTAGTAACTGCGAGGCCCTGAATTCAATCCCCGGCATCAAAAAAAAAAGAGAAAAGAAGAGTCAAAAGAACATCTCTGTAAGACACATGGTAGAGAAGGAGGATATAAGATTTCAGTCACTCTCAACCTTTTTTATTTCCCCTTTTCCTTTTCTCAGTCTATTTTTATGATACTTTTGGCACTTGAATTCTGTAGAAAGAGTGGCTCAGTTGGTAGAATATGGATGGAGACTTTAAAGAAGATAATGGAGGAATTAAGGAAGCAGGGAGGGCCATGTAATAAGTAACATGATTTGGAGAGGTGTTCCTTCTAAAGGCTGACTGCTGCAAGCAATCTCCATATGGCTTTTCTTTTTTTTACATTAAGGAAAACTAAAAGCAGCAGTTGTTGAACTTAGACCAAAGTATCAGAGCTGCTAAACTTCAAATGGAACAAAAGGAACATATGTAAAGACATAAACACAGCTCAAACTTGGGAGACACAGAATACAGATGAAGACTTTAGGTTTAAGCTTATCATACAATCCTATTAATGACAAGTACATGATCAGAGATTTAAATACATTCGGGAACAGCGCCACATGCTGTAATCCCAGAGACTTGGTAGGCTAAGGCAGGAAGAATGCAAATTTGAGGCCTGCCTCACCAATTCAGGAAGACCCTATCTCAAAGTAAAATATGAAAAAGACTGGAGATGTAGCTGAATGATAAAGCACTGCAGGGTTCAATCCCCAGGACTAAAGAGAGAAAGAACATGAGAACAAAATGTATGTTCCAAAGCAAACTGAGGTTAACAAAGAAGTGTCTATAATTTATATAAAATCAATTTTTTTTTTTTTTTTTGTGGTGCTGGGGATCAAGCCCAGGGCCTTATGCATGCAAGGCAAGCACTCTACCAACTGAGCTATATCCTCAGCCCCAATTTTTTAAAAAAAAATTTATTTTTTAGTTATAGGTGAACATAATGTCTTTATTTTACTTTATGTGGTACTGAGAATTGAACCCAGTGCCTCATCCATGCTAGGCAAGTGCTCTATCTCTGAGCCACAACCCCAGCACCCCTAGCCCAATACTTTTTAATATCTATATGGATTAGTTTTGCATCATGGGTTTTCATTTTTTTTTTTGGTGGGGGAGGGGGCTACTGGGGATTAAACCTAGGGCTGCTTTACCACTGAGTTACATCTCCAGTCCTTTTTTATTATAAGACAGGGTCTCACTAAGTTGCTGAGGTTGGCTTTGAACTTAAGATCCTCCTGCCTCAGTGTCCTGAGCATCTGGGATTATAGGAATGCACCACCCCTGTTATTTTATTGGCACTGGGATTGAACCCAACAGTGCTTTACTACTGAGCTATATCTCCAGCCCTTTCTATTTTTTAAAATTTTGAGACAGGATCTCATTAAGTTGCTGAGGCTGGTAACCATCTTGTGATACTCCTGCCTCAGCCTCCCAAGTAACTGGGGTTACAGGCATGTGCTACCATGCCTGGCACATGTTCTATTTAAAATATGAACTAAGAACCCATTTGCTCAATTAAAAAAGAAAAAGAAAAACCCTGCTTACCCGGGGTATGAAGAATTCATCAGCACTGAACTTATAAAGCCACTCATCCAAAAAGTGAAACAGAAGAGATTGTAAGTCATCTCCTACACAGGATCAAAAAGGACCATAATAGTATGAGTTTAATAATTCTGGTATCTAAAATCTTGTTCCAATTTAAAAGTGTAATGAATTTCTTACGTTAGCTGAAAGAGGAAATTTGAGCTCATAATTAATTATTTTATTGTTTGGGGTTTTTATGGAGGGGGCGGGTACTAGGGATTGAACCCAGGGGCACGTAATCACCAAGTCACATCCCCAGCCCTTTTTTAATATTTAGAGACAGGGTTTCACTAAATTGCTTAGGGCCTCACTAAGTTGCTAGGGCAGGCTTTGAACTTTCAATCCTCCTGCCCCTCAGACTCTTAGGTCCCTGGGATTACTGGCATGCGCCACCATGCTCAGCAATTTGTTATTCTTTTTTTTTGGAACTGGGAGTTGAACCCAGGGCTTTTGCAAATGCAAGGCAGACATTTTGCCAATGAGCTACATCCCAGCCCAATTTGTTATTCTTATTGTGAAAATACACTCAGATTATGTAAAACACTGCATATCTATATAACAGTTTTTTCCCTGTGAATGCGTTAGTTACCTTGGGTTTCTACTTCTATTGTTTGGAGGGGCTCCACAGTCCCAGTATCTGTCATGTAACCAAACATGGCCATTGCACACTGCTCAAATGCTTCCTCCAGAGTATCTCCCCATGCATGTAACCTAAAGAAATACATTCATGCTCTCTGTGTAATATAATTCACTGCACCAAAAAATAAAAAATAAAAAACCTCAATAGCAAAGTCAAATAAAATCAGCTTGACAAGTACAAAACTAATGACCTCAATTTAATGGCATCCTAACTGAGTGCTTTTAAATCACCATTTTTATGTTACGAATAAACAGAGTAGAAAAATAAGATAGGAACACACAGATTAAAATATTCAGCCTTCATATTTTGATACATGATTTCAAAAGAACAAACTCCTGCTATACTCACTGGACATCTGCTGTATGATCCAAATCTGAGGGAAAAAGGTAAAAACATTTAAAAGTTACTAATCTTGACCCTAAAACCATAAGAAAAAAACTAGAGCTTATTATTATTAATTATTAAGAACATCATCCTTTGAAGAACAAGAAAACTGAGGAAGCCCAGAGCTTTTTCTATCTACTCAACAAAGTTAAGTGCTTTTGGGGGGGGAGAGTACTGGGAATTGAACTCGGGGGCACTTGACCACTACTCAGTAATAAAAACCATCAACTACTGATAACAGGCATTAATATGAATCTAAAAACACTGTTAAGTTAAGAACTGCAAACTCTCAGCACTTTAAGAACTTCATATGAACCCCTGCACTTGACCAAACTCTAGCATAGCTGCTTTTAGCAGCCTAAGTTATCATCCCTGTGAGAAAAGAAGCTTAACAGGAAGATTTTTCTGTTCATTCTAGCTAAAACCTGACATAGGCCCCCAACCTTCCCTTCTTAAAGCAAGTACTAAAAAGGGCTTATAATTATAAATATATATCTCTCACAACTTAAAAGTATCTTTTTCAAGGACCTTAGAGACATTCCTTTGAAATATAATCTCCTGGTAGGGCTCTGTCCCCCAGTTTCTGTGGGAGGATAGATTCAAAAATTCCATAACTGTTAGCTAGCAGATATAGCTGGTATGAACACATTTAAACTGACCAACTCTTTGTACTTTGTTACTTCTCTAACTATGAACACTTGCTATCACCCTCCTTCATTTTCCATTCCAATCATCCCTTCACAAATTGGAATGGAGCTCATCTCTTTCCCATATCCTCAGGAAGCCAGTAGGAGCAAATTCAGAGGGACCCTGTCTCAAAACCAAAAATAAAATGGACAGGGGATATCCGTCGCTTAGTGATAAAGTGCTCCTGGGTTAAAAACCCTCACTCAGTATATATATAAAAATTGGGCTTGGCTGGGGCTCTGTGTAGAGCACTCACTTGGTATGCGTGAGGCACTGGGTCCGATCCTCATCAACATATAAAAAATAAAATAAAGGTATTGTGTCCATTTACAACTCTTTCTCTCTCTACATATATATATATATGTAAAAAAATTTTAGAAATTGCTGCTTACCTTTGACCTAGATGAAGAAGCCATTCATAAAAGAATCTATACTTAATCTGGCATGGTGGTGCATACCTATAATCCCATGACCGGGATAGCTAAGACAGGAGCATCACAAATTCCAGGCAGGCCTCAGTAATTTAGTGAGACCCTGTCTCAAAATAAAAATAAAAAGAACTGGGGATGTGGCTAAGTGATAAAGCACCCCCCAGTTCAATACCCAGTACCCCCAGTACTCCTCTTCTTGGCCAAAAAAAAAAAAAAGAAAGAAAGAAAGAAAAGAAAATCTATAGTTTGTGGTTCTATTTATATAAAATTTTAATAAAAGAAAAAAATTAAGCTATGGTGCCAGGTAAGAGTACGCATGCCTGTAATCTGAGTCCACTTGGAAGGCTGAGACAGGAAGATTATAAATTTGAGGAATGCAAGATCCTGCCAAAAAACATTTTTTTTTTTTTTAACTTTTTAAAAAAGGCCTGGGGATGTAGTTCAGTGGTAGAGTGCTTGCCTAGTGTGTGTGAGGCTGGGGTTCAACTCCCCCCACCCTACCCCCCCAAAAAAAATAAAAGAAAAAAATTAAGCTATGGGGTAGAAACCACAATGTGAACAAGGCATAGTGGTGTGTACCTGTAGTCCAACTATCCTGTAATCCCTGCTATTCAAGGCCCTGAAGCAAAATAATTGCAAGTTTGAAACCAGCCCGGGCAACTCAATGTGACCTAGTCTCAATTTTTTTAAAAATTAAGAGGGCTAGGGATGTAACTTACTGATAGAGTGTCCCTGTGGTCAATCTCCATTATAAGTGGGGAAAATATGTATTTTCCTCAAGGTAAGGGATTAAAAAAAGCAGGATAGAACTTTCTAGGGTGATGAAATTAGTTTGATTAGAGTGCTGGTTACACAGAGGTCTGTGTTTAGCAAAACTCATTGACTTTACATTTTAAGGTCTAAGCACTTTAGTCCATTGTGATATTAAATTATACTTCAATTTCTAAAAAATCAGTTTACAAATCAGGCATGGTGGTGCATGCCTATAATCCCAGCAGTTCAGGAGGTTGAGGCAGGAGGATCCTGAGTTCAAAGCCAGCCTTAGCAAAAGTGAGGTGCTAAGCAACTCAGTGAGACCCTGTCTCTAAGTAAAACACAAAACAGGGCTGGGGATGTGGCTCAGTGGTCAAGGGCCCCTGAATTCAATCCCAGGTACAAAAAAAAAAAAAAACAATCAGTTTACAAAGACAATGACATTGCTGGGTGCAATGGAACATGCCTGTAATCTCACCAACATGAAAGGCTGAGGCAACACTGTTTTGCATATTTTTCCAAATACTTTTATTTTTGTTTATTTATTTATGGTATTTAACCCAGGGTTAAATACCAGCTTTACCACTGAGCCACATCCCCATCCTTTTGATTTTGAAACAGGGTCTCACTAAATTGTTTAGGGCCTCATTAAATGCAATTCTCCTGCCTCAGCCACCATAGTCACTGGGATCATAGGTATGCACCACCACCTCCAGTTCAAATATTTTTAATGTGTTGTGGTATGTTCATTTAGTTTGAATGCATGAATATAACCCAGCCTTGGTTTGAGGATGTAACTCAGTGATGAGTGCTTGCCTAGCATGGGAGACCCTGCTTTTGGGTTCTACCCCTAGCACCACAGATATGCAAAAGAAAAAGAATTTTTGTTGGTAGTGCTGGGGATAGAACCCAGAGCCTCCCTGGGGCAAGCACTCCATCACTGAGCTATGTACCCCAGCCCCAGAGGAGATTTTAATTTTTCAAACAAGAGTGAACAGTCTTTTAAATTTTATACCAAAATGCAAAATGTGGTCGTTTTTTAAACATTAGTTCAATGTAGAATCTAAGGCTATATATACAAAGAACTGAAACTTTGAAAAGTTCTCTGTATGAAAATACTCTGTAGCATTAAAATCCATTGATCTGTTGTACATTCACAATGGGTCTTATCCATGTCTGATGGTGTAATATCAAGCATTAGTAATTTAGAAAATACTAGTTCATTGTTACACAGATAATACTGACATATTTAACTATATAGGACATTGCTTTGGTTTTTGGATAGTGTTGCAGATCAAATCCCAGGCATTGTACATGCCAGGAAAGCCCTCTACTGCTATGCCACATCCCCAACCATATAGAGAACTTTAAGAAAAAACTTTTTATTTATTATTAATTCATTTATTTATTTTTGGTAAGGGGGATCGAACCCAGGGGCTCTTTACCGCTCAGCTACATCTCCAGTCCTTTTGCTCTTTTTATTTGATACAGGGTTTCAGGAAGTCAGCAAGCTGGCTTCAAACTTGCTGAGGCTGGCCTTGAACCTGTAATCCTCCTGCCTCAGCCTCCAGAAAAGTTTCTAAGTACTGGGAAGCTCATGGGGATAGACACAAGTTTTCTAAAATTTTAATATAACTTGAAAGCCTAAATTTTATCATTACCAGTAATAGTTTTTTGCCTTGATGTGACAGATTGCTTTGTTCATTTTAAAGAAAATTCATGTCAAATACCAAGTCTGAATAACAACAGCTTGTCATAGTCATTCTTACAATGAAGAATTGTGTTCTGCGACAAAACCTCACAATTACACAAGTTCTTTTCCTCAAGATGAACATCAATACCTTGATACACAGCAGAAACACTTTATGCATATTTTCCATCTTTGAAATTATTTATTTATTTATTATGTGGTTCTGAGGATTGAACCCAGGACCTCACACATGCTAGGCGAGCGCCCTACCGCTGAGCCACAATCCCAGCCTGCACATTCTCCATTTTTTTAATTTAATTTTTTTTTTATTAGCTACACATGACATTACAATGATCTTGGCAATTCATACATTTGAATCACTGGGGTATAATTTCTCACTTTTCTAATTGTACAGATTGCAGCATCACACTGGTCATAGAGTCACCTATATACATACAGCAATCATAATGTCTATTCTATTCTGTTGCCCTTCCTATCTCCTCTACTCCTCTCCTTCCCTCCCATCATTTACATACTCCACTTTTAACAGAGACTACTTAAAAAGGCTCAGCCAGACTTGGCCACACAAGCCTGTAATTCCAGCTACAGGGAGGCTGAGGCAGTATAACAAGTTTGAGACCAGCTGCAGCAACTTAGTGAGATCCCATCTCAAAATAAAAGGAAAGGGGACTGGGGATGGGGATGTGGCTCAGTGGCTAAGCACTCCTGGGTTCAAGCCCCAGTACAAAAATGGAAAAGCATAGAAATATCCTAAATGTCTACCAACTAGAAATTGGTTAAACAGAGAAAATGCTTGAACATTTGTGTATGCAAAGTGACCAGGGTTGCTCTAGAAACAGGGACTAAAACATGGGATCAGAACTACGAGACTTATTTTTCACTGCATACCTGCTTTTTGTTGTTGTTGGGTTTTTTTTGGTCTTTGTTACCCAGGCCATCTGGAACTTGGAGGACTCATGTGTTTCTCCTGCCTCAGTCTCGGAAGTAGTGACCACTTTTTTAATCATATAGTATTTTAAATTGTTTTTAAGTGAGAAAGGGGCAAGAGCAAGGGAGATATGCTGGGTTAAGAATGCACAGATGCAAAAATGATGTGGTAGTTGTACATTTTTTATTTATTGCAGCACTGAGGATTTAATCCTGGGGTGCTCTACCACTGACCTACACTTCCTACTCCTATATTTACTTATTGATTGACACTGGGGATTTAACCCATGGGCGCTTTACCACGGATCCCCAGACCTTATTATTTAGAGACAGGTTTCCCTAAATTGCTTAGGGCTTCATGAAATTGCTAAGGCTGGCCTAGGAACTTGAGTTTCTCCTGCCTCAGCCTCCCCAGTCACTGGGAGTATCAGTGGGCGCTTCCGAAAAAATAAAAGATTTTAAGAAGATAAATGAGACCAATTAAATTTGCGCTCCCCACCATAGCCACCTGTAGGATAACAGCTAAATTTTTAATACAGAATTTAAGAAACTGAACTATCCTTTCACTTTCCTTATTTTTGTGGTGCTGAAGATTGAACCCAAGGTCTTCTGCATGCCATAAAGCACACTACACCTCCAGTTCACATTATTCCTTAGATGAAGGAACTGAGACATAAAGATAGGCAATATAATTTGCTTAAAGTCACTAATAAATGGCAAAACCAGGTTCTTTTAAAACACGATGCAGGTAAATTCTGGGTCTCTGGTACATGCCTTTAATCCCAGCGAGCTAGGAAGGCTAAGGCTTGGAAGGCTAAGGCAGGAGGATCACAAGCTCAAAGTCAGCCTCGGACAACTTAGTGAGGCCCTAAGCAATTTAGAAAGAACCTGTCTTTACTTAAAACATTAAAAGGGACGTGGCTCAGTAGGCCTCTTGAGTTCAATTCCTGGTTACAAAAAAAAAGAGGTAAAACACCAAGTTACAATTGCCCATCTTAGTTTTCCCAGTTCTCTACATTTGCCACACTCTTTAACTGTCCCATTGTTACTAGATATGAAGTCAAACACGAAACTCTTGAAAACCCAATTACTTTTATAATTGGCGCACTAGTAAAACTCATAAATGTGATCAGGCGCTTGAGGAAGTTAAGAGACTGTAAATGTGGAAGCTCAGGTTTCCTGACTCCTAAGCCAGGTGGCCTTTTACTTTAGAACCCTCTAGGCCAAATACAAAGATACAATACAGGGCGCACACAGGGCACAAAGAGTTGATGCCCGAGCAAAGTAGAGGTGAGGAAGGAAGCTGCAGGTAAGGAATCAGGCATGCCCCTGTGCCCATATTTGAATAGAGAAGTGACCCATCTACTCACATTCGTACTTCCGATTGACTGGAGGATACTTGGCCTTGATCGCCTTCTGCTCCTCAGTCAAATTGTAATCTCTAACATCTTCTCCTTCCTGCGCCATGATCGCAGGAGTGTACCCTCTACTTCCGCCCTTCCTCTGCCGGACTTCGGCCGGGCGCTACTGCTTCCGCCATAAACCCCGCCCCTTGGCACACGTCTTAAAGGCCCAGGACTCCATTCTCGGAGCTTGCGGAAGGACGTTAACCCCTGAGACTTACATTCTAGGACTTGTCGCTTGTATCACATGGTTAAAAAACAAGGCCCCACCTTCTGTGTTTATCACTAGTTATTCTTTTAAATATTTTTTAGTTGTTGATGGACCTTTGCTTTTATTTTATGTGGTGCTGAGGTTCGAACCCAGTGCCTCCCACATGCTAAGCAAGCGCTCTACCACTGAGCCACAACCCCAGCCTATCACTAGTTATTTCTAAAGACTAAGCAAGTTGAAGAACACCTTAAATTAGACAACTCTGGGTCTGAGTGGTGAGACCTTGTCTTTCCGCCTGGCACCCAGAGTTGATAACTAGAACCCGAAGCATTCCAAACATCAATATTCTAAACGTGAGCGTAACAGCCCGTAAGAAAATGGCTGCCTCCGGGAATGTGTGGACTAAACTTCTCACGTGACCTGAACGGGCACAATCCCATCAGCCCAGGCGGGCGCGCCGTCAGTGGAAGTCCGCTCCCGCGGTGTGGGGACAGATGGGGCGGAGCGTGCTCATCGGACCCGCGGAAAGAGATTCCGGGCGTCCGGATAGGCCGAGAATGGGATTGCCCCGCCCACCCCGCTGTTGGATGCACTCCGATTGGCCGACGTTGGCGCGAAGGTGCGCGAGTCGACCCTCACGCAGGGGCCGCAGGAAACAATAGAGGCCGCGCGCGCGGAGCTAGCGCTCGCAGGCTCCCCGCCCCTCCCGCAACGCTCGACCCCGGGATACCCCCGGCTCTCCTGCCGCCATGGCCGACAAGGAAGGTGAGGGTGCCTGAGACGCCCCGTGAGGGCGGCGGGTGTCTGGGCTACGTTGCGGCCTCCATACGGCCTAACATCGGCGACAGGCCCAATGGTGCCGAGCGAAGCTCCAGCAACGCTGGCGTGAGGAGGGAGCTCCCCGCGGGGCGGGCTAACGGCGCTCCAGTTTCTCACGAGCCGAAGCCCGTCACCGCGGAGCGAAGCTGGCAGTGGGAGGCCTAGGGGTGTGCGTCCCTCCTCACACTCCCTGTCGGCCACTCAGCCTATTTCCCGGGCCCGCCTGCCTCGCTCCCTACCCAAGGCCCGGTGACGCGCCTCTTCGCCGGTCTTCCAGACTATTCGCGCAAGCGTGCTTCGAAGGCCTTGCGCCGTCGCCTCGAATGGGTAACGGAGTGCTGGCTGGGATAGCCGGGGACTTCCGGCCCGCGGAGGTAGAGGGCGGCGTTGTTTGGTGACTGCTCCTGGGAACACCGGACACAACCCTCCTTTCCAGGGTCTGGAGGGAAGAAGCCGCTGGTAGCTTTGGAGAGGTTTACTTGTTTTCCGTTTCTGTTCTCTAACTTAATTTGTTTTAAAAATTTTAGCAGCCTTTGACGATGCAGTGGAAGAACGTGTGATCAACGAGGAGTACAAAATATGGAAAAAGAACACCCCTTTTCTTTATGATTTGGTGATGACCCATGCTCTGGAGTGGCCCAGCCTAACAGCACAGTGGCTTCCAGATGTAACCAGGTGACATGAATCTCTTGAACGTTACTTTGATTTCTCCAGTCCTTTGAAGAGGGCACGTGATCAAAGCCTATTAGTGACGTTTTTTGATCTATGGGGGGAAAATATGGCAAAATGTAAATTATTTTGGAATTTACCTGGAGAGAGAAAAATATGTTGGTATTTTCTTTTTGTGATACTGAATTGAATAGCCGTATTACAACTGTAATTGACCAAATTACCAAACTTGATAACTTTCAGTAAGCAGTCTAAGTTCAATGCCTTCAACAAACCGAATGAATTTTTACAGTCCATAGCTGCTTAATGCAAAGAGGAATATGGGACCTACCTATAAACAATACGTGGTCTGGTTGAAAAGATAGATGTCAGCTGGTAATTGTAGCAATGTAGAATGAGAACAATTATAGAAAGATAATTAGGATACTTAGAAAACATCCTTGATGGAGGATACTTAGAAAACATCCTTGATGGAGGCTGGAGATAAATACTTCATTGGTAGATCACATCCAGCAAGACCCTGGGCTGGATCCTTAATGACCTAGGACACAAAACAAAAAAAAAAACCTGGAGGTGTCATAGTATGGTTTGTTTCCTTCCTTCCTTCCTTTCTTTTTTTAATTTTTGTAGTTGTAGAATGCCCTTATTTTGTTTATTTATATGTGGTGCTGAGGATTGAACCCAGTGCTTCATGCATGCTAGGCAAGCGCTCTGCCATTAAGCTATAGCCCCAGGCCCCATAATATGGTTTTCATAAAAGGAAGTTGGGTGTTGGGCATAGTGAGGATTATGAGACTAATCGCATATATTTTTTTCCCCCTAGTACTATGGATTGAACTCAGGGATGTTCTACCACTGAGCTATGTCCCCAGCCCTCACATATATTTCTTACCCAGGTAGCTTGCCTCTGATATAGGGGATAGCATATCATTTAGTTTAGCTTGCATTTATTGAGGCTCTGCTAGGGTCCACATATCGATGGACACAAATAAATCAGAATTATGACAAGAGTGGCACAGATGTGATCAGAGCAAGAAAAATATACCTCAACTTTGGAGTATCGGGACTGACTTTTAGAAGGAAGTAACAGTGCAAAGATATGGTGGATATAGATGATTGGTATGTGCTGTACCTACCTGGACACCATGGCACATGCCTGCAATCCCAGGGGCTCTGGAGGCTGATACAGGAGGATCACAAATTTTAGGTCAGTCTGGGAATATGAGATGCTGTCTCAAAAAAATAAAAATGATGGAGTACAGCTCAACAGTAGAATGTCCCTGAGATCAATCCTCAGTACCATCAAAAAAAAGAAAAACAAGTGCCTGTTATAATTGCTTCACTTTTCAGAATAACGTTCAAAAATTATTTTGTATTAAATAACCATATTCTTTCAAGAATGAAGCTGCTTCCTTTACAGTGGCATAAGGAAAAATGGGGAAATGTATGCAAGAGATATTATAAAAAACCTTAGTATCTATATAGAAATTTAGAACTTGAAGCTTCTTTATCCTGATTGGGCATTCTCGCGTTCAGTTGATCAATGATTGTTGGAAGTATTTGGAGTTCAAGATAAGTAGTCGTTTCTGTCGGGAGTTTTAAAAACTTGGTGAGAAAAATATTTGAATAGTAATGTCATATTTACTATATTTATATGCTAAATTGTATAATTTCTGGGATTCAGTGATCCTGTATATATATATGTGTATGTATGTATGTATACATATATATGTGTGTGTGTGTGTGTGTCTTGATCTAATTTTTGAGCCCTTCCAGATAATGTTTTGTGTTATTTGGCTTCCTACTGGTGCCTCAAGTATCTTATTTATTGATTTCTTCAGTTTGACATGTTCTGAACAGAATAATTCATTTCTTGGAGGTTCCACCCTAGCTTTGTCCTATTACTTTTTTTGTATTTTAACTACAGACCGGGTCTCACTGAGTTGCTTACCACCTTGCTTTTGCTGAGGCTGGCTGGCTTTGAACTTGCGATCCTCCTGTCTCAGCCTCCCAAGTCGCTGGGATTACAGGCATGTGCCACCATGCCTGGCCATATTTGACTTTTTGACATTTATGTTTTGTTTACCCAGTTGACAGGGAGTCATTTATAAGCCCTCATAAATCCTAATTGTGTTGCATCTGTCTCATTGAGACCAGGAGTTTTCATATTGTAATATGCAACATAATCAGCTGAAGGTCTTAGAAAACAGTTGTGTCCCACCTTCCAGAATATCTGATTTATTTGATCTGGAGTAGATTTTGAGAATTTGCATTTCTAACAAGTTCCCAGGTGATGTTGATGCTGGTTCTATTGCCCTTAGTACTGTACTTTTAAGAACCTCTGTTTTACATTGTTAAATTAATCCTTCTGAGGAGACAAATGATATTAATGTCACTGCTTAGAAACTTTCCATGATTTCTTGTTCCCTACAGTATGGAATTTAGAATTCCTTAAAACTGACATTCAAAAAATAAAGATTCTGGTTTTTATCTACTTTATAGGTTTCTCTCCCATTGTGCTTTTCATTTGGAATTTTATCCCAGTTGTTAACTTGGTAGTTGTGTGATCTTAGAGATTGCTTAATTTTCCTCAATGTCAGATATCTTTGTTTTCAAGTTGGAATAATATTCATAGTATTATTATGGTGTTTAAATTTTGTATGTAAAATGGCTAACATGGTATCTGTAATCTTAGCATCTCTTCCAGAATGCTTCCTTATTTCCTGAGATAATCTAGATTGCTGCATATTTTATTTCTTTACTTTTTTGGGTGGTATTGGAAATTTAACCCAGAAGCACTCTACCACTCCAGCCATTTTTAAATTTTTACTTTGAGTGTCTCTATGTAGCCAAAGCTGACATCAAACTTGGAATCCTCCTGCCTCAGCATCCTGAGTAACTGAGATTTTTGGAGATGCGTCCATTCCCAGCTTAAACTCCCATATTTTTGTGTGCCTTTCATATAGTATATATTGCCTAATATTTAGTTATTTGTGTACATGACTGCCTAATTGCCTCCAGGTTTTTGTTTTGTTTGTTTGGTACTGGGGATTGAACCCAAGGATGCTTAACCATTAAGTCACATCCCTAGTTCTTTTTTAAAAAATTTTATTTTTTAATATTTATTTTTTTGTTGTACTTGCACATAGTTGTAGTTGAGCCTTTATTTTATTTATTTTTATGTGGTGCTGAGGATTGAACCCAGTGCCTCACATGTGCTAGGCAAGTGCTCTGCCACTGGGCCCCAGCCCCATCCCTAGTTTACCTTTTTTAGGGTGGGTCTGAGGTGCTGAAGATTGATCCCAGGACCTTGCACATGCTAAGGTCTTCCACTAAGCTATACCCCAAGCTACTCCTTTCCTATCTTTTTTTTTTTTTTTTGGTGGGGGTGGGTAGTGGGGATTTATTGAACCCATGAGTACTTTGTCACTGGGCTACGTTTTGTTTTGAGACAGGGTTTTGATGATTTGCTGAGGCTGTTTTTGAGTTTGTAATCATCCTGCCTTAGCATCCCAAGTCTCTGGGAGTAACAGGTGGGCACTACCACACCTGGATTTTCTTTGTGATCCTTCTAGCTGAGATTACAGGCATGTCATTGTGCCCAGCCCCTCCTTTTAAACAAAGGTTTTAATAAATTAAGTATTAGTGTATCCAACCCCTGTTTTCTTTCCTTTTAGCCCATTGTAAAGAGTACATAGTTCATTTTTTATTCTTTTAAACTTTTTCTCCAGAGTAATTCTAAATTTTAAAACAAGTTAGAGATGCTTATAAAATTAGGTGCTAGGGCTTGGAGTATGGCTCAGTGGTGGAGCGCTTGCCTAGCACGTGAGGCACTGGGTTCAATTCTCAACAGTGCATATAAATAAATAAAGGTCCATCAACAACTAAAAATAGTTTTTAAAAAAATTTTGGGCTGGGGCTGTAGCTCAATGGCAGAGCACTTGCATTGGACGTGGGAGACACTGGGTTTGATCCTCAGCACCACATTAGAAAAACGTACAAATAAAATAAATTAGGAATTATATTGTTCTCTGTATTTCACCTTATGGAAGATGCAGTAAATGTAGAAAGTGGGTCTCCATAACTGTTTGTAGTCTCTCTTGATGGTAGTAATTTGAATATTGACTGTTTATTGCTGTTACAGACCAGAAGGAAAAGATTTCAGCATTCATCGACTTGTCCTGGGGACACACACATCCGATGAGCAAAACCACCTTGTGATAGCCAGTGTACAGCTCCCCAATGATGATGCTCAATTTGATGCATCACACTATGACAGTGAGAAAGGAGGTAGGAATCTTAAACGAAAGAATTTGACACATGGTTATCTTTCATATCATTGAATTATTTATTGTAAAAGGATACCAATTTGATAAAGTAGCCTCAAGTTAGAAATAAGATTTATACTTGGGAGAGCTAAGTTTGCAGTATAGAAGAACTACTCAACGCATACTCGTTCTGTATCTTTTCTGTAAACTTCCCACTACTAAACTGGTAATGAGGGGATTTCTACCGTTGAAAGAACCAGAAATCTACCAACGTTATTTCTGTGCATTCTCATCAGGGGAGATATTCTCTCTAAGCAGATAAAAAATGGTTCATGGGTTTGGGTGAGTGTAAATTGCTCATTGAACGTATAAAGTACTTAGCACATATTCAGACATATTGGATATTTGTGGTATTACATATTCATCAGGTACGGGAAAAATTATCTTTAAGGTTTTGTAGCTAGGCAACAGTGAAAAACAAGTTGATACTGGGCATAGTGGCATGCTCTAATCCCAGCTACTTGGTAGGCTGCAGCTGAGGGATCCTTAAATTTGAGACCAGCCTGGGCAACTTAGACTTTATCTCAAAAAAAATTTTTTTAAGTGGGCTGGGAATGTAGCTTAGATGATAGAACACTTTCATAAATATTAGATATTTAATGTTTCTTAGATTTCTCGTGATTAGCAGAACACTCGTATGTGTTTTTTAAGTACTGGGCACTTTATCACTGAGCTACATCCCCAGCTCTTTTTATTTTGATACAAGTCCTCTCTAAGTTGCTGAGGCTGGCCTTGAATTTGTAATCCTGCTGTCAGCCTCCTGAGCCTTTGGGATTACAGGTGGACACAGCATGCGCAGCTTATATTCCCTTTGAGTGGCATCAAATTTCCTTTTGTTTTGAAGAGACCTTATCCTCTAACACTTCATATTTGAAGAACAGGTTAAAAAAAAAGAGAGAGAAAGAGCCAGTAATATATACAGTAAACCAATCAACTGATCCTCATGCAGATAAACCTAGGAACCCCTAGTTTTTATTTATTCAAGATAAAGATGTTGCTAAATTGCTGGAACAGGCCTCAAACTGGTGATCCTTTTGTTTCTCTAATCACATTAAATACATAGGGCTGGGTATGTAACTCATTGGTAGAGTGCTTTCTTAGCATGTGCAAGGCCCTGGATTCAATTACTAGCACTACACTAAAATAAAATAAAATAAAATAAAAACTAGGGTTTTTTGGGGGGTGGGGTGGGGAGGGTGGTTGTTTTATTTGGAAGGGAGGGTTTTCATACCTGGAATTAAACACAGAGGTGCTGTTCCACTGAGCTATGTCCCTAACCCTTGTTATTTTTTATTTTGAGAAAGTCTCACTATGTTGCTTAGGGCCTCCTGAGTTAATGAGGGTGGCCATGAACTTGCAATCCTTCTGCCTCAGCCTCCTGAGCTGCTGGGATTATAGGTGCGAACCACCATACCCAGTTGAATCCTAGACCTTTAAAACTCAATTTTGAACTGAGTGTGGTGGTTCACACCTGTAATCCCAGTGGGCTCTAGAGGCTGAGGCTGGAGGAATACACGTTCAAAACCAACCTCAGCAACATAGCTAGGCCCTGTTTCAAAATAGAAAAAGGAGCCGGGGACATAGCTTGGTGTTTAAGCACCCCATGTTCAATCTCCAATACCAAGAAACAAAATACAAATTTTGAATTCTCTAAGCTGAATTCTTGCCACTGTTTTACAGTGAGGCCCATGTATGTCCAATCCTGAAATAACCCTTGTTCTATGGGCTCTGTGCTGCCAGCTTTTCCTTTTCCCTGAATGGTGCCACTTTTCTGACAATTATGCTATTTTTTTTTAATTATTTATTTTTTTGGTAGTGGTAATTCTCTACATTTATGTACTTAACCACTGTGTGCTTAGACTGAAAGTTTCTTATGATGACACACCTTATTTTGCCTTCCTTTTTGTTACAAGTTTTTGGAATAAAATTAGTTAATGTATTTTTTTCTTCTCCTTTAGTCTTTAAACTTTTATTATTGGGCTTTTAACCTTGTTTTGAAACATATGCTCAAAACTTACAAAAGTTATTTTGAAGCTGAAAGTTATCTAAGGCCAACAATGTTACCTATTTACATCTTTGCTTTCTGAGAAGCTTTTGTCCTTCAAAGAGTAACACCTGTGTAGCAATATTATTGACAGCAGTTTCGTGTATTACTTTTTTTTTTTTTTTTTGGTACCAGGGGTTGAACTTGGGGGCACTCAAGCACTGAGCCAGCTCCCCAGTCCTATTTTGAATTTTATTAGAGACAGAGTCTCACTAAGTTGCTTAGCGCCTCCCTATTGCTGAGGCTGGCTTTGAACTTGTGGTCCTCCTGCCTCAGCCTCCCCAGCCGCTGGGGTTACAGGTGTGTGCCATTTCACCTGGTTCATCTATTATTTATTTATTTATTTATGGTAGTGCCTGGGGATTGAACCCAGGGCCTTATGCATGTGAGGCAAGCACTCTACCAACTGGGCTATGTCCCCAGCCCCTCATCTATTACTTTTTACATCTTCTTTGTTTTATGGATATTTGAGGTTCTGAAAAATTGAAGGCAAATAGGAGTTAAGAAAATGGAGCTGGGCGCAGTGGTGCACACCTGTTATCCAGCAGCTTGGGAGACTGAGGCAGGTAAACTGCGATTTCAAAGCCAGACTTAGCAACTTAGCAAGGTCCTAAGCAACTCAGCTAAACCCTGTCTAAATAAAATGGAGAAAAGGGTTAGGCATGTGTCTCAGTGTTTAAGCACCCCCAGTTCAATCCCCAGTACCAAAAACAAAGATAATGGAACTATTAGCCTCTTGTGGTTGCACACACCTATAATTCCAGTGATTCATCTGAAGCAGGGGAATAGCAAGTTAGAGGCCAGTCTGGGCAACTTAGATCCTGTCCCAAAATAAATAAAATTGACTAGGGCTGGGGTTGTGGCTCAGTGGTAGAATGCTTGCCTAACAGGTATGAGGCACTGGGTTCAACACCACATGAAAATAAAAAAAGATATTGTGTTTATCTACAACTAAAAGTATTTTTTTTAAATAGTACCAAGTTTATTCGGCATACTTTTTTAAATGATATTTTATTTGTAGATGGACACAATATCTTTATTTTTTTTTTATTTTTATGTGGTGCTGTGAATCAAACCCAGTGCCTTATGCGTGCGAGGCAAGTGCTCTCCAACTGAGCCACGACCCCAGCCCCCTTATTTGTACTTTAAATGAGATTTGAAAAGTGTTTATGAAGAACCTCCTTTTGAGGTGAAAGTTTTTCTTAACTTCAAATACTAATAAAAAATACTTTGACTTGTTTGTTTTGGGCCAGGGTGGTGTTTTTGTTCTACTGAGAGTAAACCCTGTAGCAGATGCATGTTACTACATCTCAGGCCTTTATTTCTGATTTTCTTTATTTCTTTATTTCTGATTTCTTACTAAGTTGTTGAGGCCAGTCTCAAATGTGGGAATCCTCAGGCCTTAGCCTCCTGCATTGCTGGGAATAAAGGTGTGTGCCACCATGCCTAGCAATGTAATTCTTATTAGGCATTTAACAACATATCTGATGTCAGATGAGAATGAAAACACTGTATATTGCTAACAAATGTCTAATATGCTATTTTACTGATAAAAGGCTTTGCCTATGTCTTCATATTCTGTGTAACCCAAGCAGAATGTTTTGTTTCTCACCCTTACTTGCAATTTATTTTTATTTACAGAATTTGGAGGTTTTGGCTCAGTTAGTGGGAAAATTGAAATAGAAATCAAGATCAACCATGAAGGAGAAGTAAATAGGGCTCGTTATATGCCCCAGAACCCTTGCATCATTGCAACAAAGACTCCATCCAGTGATGTTCTTGTTTTTGACTATACAAAACATCCTTCTAAACCAGGTCAGGTACCTCCCCTTTTCTCTTCAAATACACAGATTCTGCTTGTTCAGGGTTTTAATTTCTCGTCATCTGTATAATTTAACATCCTATAATTTATAGTGATAATATGTGTGAGTATTTTCCTCCACACTTTTTCCTTTAGTGGAAAAAATCCTTTTTAAAATGGAATAAACAGAATGATGATGGTGAAGCTTAAGCATTTTATCTTTGGTCGTAATGATTACTGTATTTTTTATAAATGTTAGGAGCTTTAGGCATCATGCTCAACATTTCATTTTGTTTAGTAAACCCATAGTAACAGTGAACTTAGTCATCTTCATGTGTCTGTTACTTTGCAGACCCTTCTGGAGAGTGCAACCCAGACTTGCGTCTCCGTGGACATCAGAAGGAAGGGTATGGGCTTTCTTGGAACCCAAATCTCAGTGGGCACTTACTTAGTGCTTCAGATGACCATGTGCGTATCCTTCCAATTTTGAAGCAAATCTGGGCTAGTTACCAGTTGGTTTCTTTTTTTGGGATTTGTGGGAAGGTGAGACTCTTACATAATGGTTAATTTTACATTTAAGACCATCTGCCTATGGGATATCAGTGCCGTCCCAAAGGAAGGAAAAGTGGTCGATGCGAAGACCATCTTTACAGGGCATACAGCAGTAGTAGAAGATGTTTCCTGGCATCTACTCCATGAGTCCCTGTTTGGGTCAGTTGCTGACGATCAGAAACTTATGATGTGAGTAGAACCCATTGTATTTTGTTGTTGTTGTTTTATTCTTATATTTTATCTTATTTTTTATATTTAGTAAGCTTTTTCAAAAGCTTTTCTCTTTGCTTTTTTCCCCCCCTTCCACTAAAGTTGGGATACTCGTTCAAACAATACTTCCAAACCAAGCCACTCAGTAGATGCTCACACTGCTGAAGTGAACTGCCTCTCTTTCAATCCTTATAGTGAGTTCATACTTGCCACAGGATCAGCTGATAAGGTAAGTTTGACTTGTTCTAAGAGAATAAATTCGTTGGGCTGGTGTTATAGCTCAGTTGGTAGAGTCCTTGCCTCCCATGCACAAGGCCCTGGGATCAATCCCCAGCACCACCCCAAAAAATAAATAAATAACAATTTTTTTAAAAAAGAATACATTTGTGAATCTCTTTACATTTTAAATGTGCAGAGTTAGTTTGAGTTAATGGGTTTTCTTTTCTTTTTAAAAAAATAAAACATTTGTTGGGTACAATGATAAACGCCTCTTAGTTCAACCTGTTTAGGATGCCGAGACAGGAAGATTGCAAGTTCAAGGCTAGCCTGGGCAACTTGGTGAGACCCTATCTCAAAAATAAAATGAAAAGGGCTCATGGTGTAGCTCAGTGGTAGAGTGCCTCAGAGTTCACTCCCCACTGCCACAAACAACAAAACAAAATATACATTGGTCTTGCTTTCCTTTTCTTTTTGCATGTAGACTGTTGCCTTGTGGGATCTGAGAAATCTGAAACTTAAGTTGCATTCCTTTGAATCACATAAGGATGAAATATTTCAGGTAAGAGAAGCCATTGCTGCTTAATTTTTGTTGATGTTAAAGGAAAACTTGGGAGTGCAAGTAGGCATATACTGTTCTCTGTGGGAATTGGGATTGTTTTTCCTTTCTTGTTTACTTTTTCAAACTGCTCGCTCGTTGGCCACCTATGTATTTCAGGGTTGTTTGAGGCCAGCCTCAGCAGTTTAGTGAGATCCTTTCTCAAAATAAAAAGGGACTGGAGTGGTAAGGGCACCTGTGGATTTAATCCCCAGCCCCTAAAAAAAAATGTTTGTTGTTGCACTATGTTCAAAGCTTTTGGTAAGGCTTTGTGAGGAATATGTTACAGGTATAGTTACATAGTTTTTAGTTAAATTGTAAGGCTTAAATTTTTATAGCAAGAAAGGCCTATTTTGAAATTATAATAAAATATTGTTAAGGACCTGAGGGCAGTCAGATTAATTCTAATGGATAAATGTGGCTGGCATCTTAATTGGGTTTTAGGTGAGGCATAGTTCTGTACACTTTGTCTCTTAACCTTATTTTTTACTCCAAAGAATATTTTGACTTTGCCCTCTTTGTTCTTTGCTTAAAATGGTCTTATTGCATGAAGATTATTCAAATTCTTTGTTTACGGTAATGTCATCTTTTCTGTAACATGAGCCAGCACCTTTCTTACCAACCAGTAATAAATAATATGTGATTGTTGCATGTATTTAGTTGAATTTTGTCTGAACTCTTCACTTAAGATCATTATTATAAGGAATTTTTATTGTTGTCATCAGCCTTATTTATGTGTACCACAGAGTTCCATATAAGTACTTAAGAAAGTAATTTTTGTATGTGTGTCATCTGTTATTTTAGTACTTAGGTCAGAAGTGGGTTACATTTGACTAGAGGCCAGAATTAGATACTGTGGTTGAAGTATGGCCAATATATTTAGCCAAGCACAGTAGCATATGCCCATAATCCCAATGACGTGGAGGGCTGAAATGGGAGGATCAAAAGTTCCAGGCCAACCTCACCAATTTAGTGAGACCCTCAGCAACTGAGCAAGATCCTATCTCAAAATAAAAGGACTAGGTATGTGGCTCAGTGGTAAAGTGCCCCTGAATTCAATCCCCAATACTAAAGGAAGGAAAGGAGGGAGGGAGGGAGGGAAGGAGGTGTGATCTTCAAAAGTATAACATGAAATGGGGGTATGGGGTTGTGACTCAGTGGTAGAGCGCTCTCTTGCCTTGCATGCACGAGGCACTGGGGTTTGTTCCCCAGCACCATATTTAAAAAAAACAAAAAACAAAAAAAACCTATAAAAACAGGTATTGTGTTCATCTATAACTAAAAATAAAAATATAACATGAAATAGAAGAGAAGTTGATGTCTTAGGTCTAGTAATGTATTTTAATAAAAAATTAGATCTGTCATTTTTAACTAATGTTTAATACTTTTCCTTTTTACAAAATCTTTAAATTGTTAACTTTAGAGTGTGTGTGTGTGTTTTCCTAATTCATGTCTTTTCTGTTTCCTTCATTCTTGTATAGGTTCAATGGTCACCTCACAATGAGACTATTCTGGCTTCTAGTGGTACTGATCGTAGACTGAATGTCTGGGATTTAAGGTAAGTCTTGTATTAGTTACTCTCTTTGTGAAGTTTTTTTGTTTGTTTGTTTGTTTTACTTAGTTACACATGACAATGCAATGATCTTGACATATCATACGTTTGAATCAGATGGGATATAATTTCTCATTTTTCTAGTCTTTGTGAAGTTATATTTACACTTTCCCAAGGTAGTTACTTGGGGAAAATCTTTTTAACTTCTAAAATTATCTTTTTGTGCTAGTAAAATTGGAGAAGAACAATCCCCAGAAGATGCAGAAGATGGCCCACCAGAATTATTGGTATGTTATAACCAGTAAACAATATTGAAATAATCTGTAACTTCTTTTTTAATAACTTTATTTTTATGTGGTACTGAGAACTGAACTCAGTGCCTCACGTGTGCTGGGTAAGCAGTCTACCCCTGAGCCATGACCCCAGCCTGTAACTTCTTTTAATCGTTTGTAATTTAATGTCTTCTTTCTCATTTCATACCTGTTTTCTTCCCTGTTATAGTTTATTCATGGTGGTCACACTGCCAAGATATCTGATTTCTCCTGGAATCCCAATGAACCTTGGGTGATTTGTTCTGTATCAGAAGACAATATCATGCAAGTGTGGCAAATGGTAAGTGTTTGGTCTTTGGGGGTGAGAATTTAGATAAATACTATTTCATATTTTATACTTAATGTGACTGCCATCCATTTGGTTTACTCCCAATGTGATGTTAGTGATTATATGCACATTGTCCTTTTCATAACTAATTTTTTTTAATACCTTTGTTTTATTTTTATGTGGTGCTGAGGATCAAATCCAGGGCCTCACGTACTAGGCAAGCGCTCTACTGCTGAGCCACAGCTTCAGCCCCTCTTAACTATTCTTTACCTTCATCTGATGGCCCTACTGGTTATTTTTAAACTCAACCAAATAAAACTGATCTTTTCTTCACTCTCCTTAGTCCCCTTTCTTCCTCCTCAATCCTTTTTTCTGACTAGTGTCCATGTCTTGTTCAGCTAACCAGACTTGAATCCTAGGAGTCTTCATCTGTTCACCTGTCAGTCTAGTTAACAGATTTCATAAATTTCAGAGCACTTAATTTAATAAAAAATAATCAGTGTGCATAAGGCCCTGGGTTCAGTCCCCAGGACCCAGTGGTTTAAAAGAAAAAACTCATGTTTGGGGTGTAACTCAGTGGTAGAACATATGCTTAACGTGAGTAAGGCACTGGTTCAGTCCCAGCACTAAAACTATGATAGCTGAATTCATGGCACATACCTGTAATCCCAACTTCTCGGGATGCTGAGGCAGAAGGATTGTAAGTTTGAGGCCAGCCTAGGCAAGATCCTTTCTCAAAGTTTAAAAAATAAAAGAAAAAGAGCTAGGGATGTGGCTCAGTGGTAAGAGAACCCCTGGGTTTAATTCCCAGTACCACCAAATAAATAAATAATGACTAATGTCTAAATATAGTAGTAGTATAAGAAATTGTCACATTCTTCCTGGGCATGGTATCTCAAATCTATAGTCCCAGTACTTGTGGAGACTAGGGCAGGAGGATCACAATTTGGAGATCAGCCTGGGCAATTTAGTGGAACTGGGTCTCAAAAAGGCCACTAAAGGGAAAAAAATACATTCTGGATTGTTATACAACATTGTGTTCTTCATGCCACTGAACTATACAAATAAAACAACTAGGATGATAATTTTGTTATGTATTTTACCGCTTTTTTATCTTTTTTTTTTTTTTTTTTAATGGAAGTATGATAAATGAAATCAATTCCAAGAGTCTTTTTGTGTCTAGGTAGATCTAGAGCTAGGAAGAAACTCTAGAGGAAAAAGTTTTTGTTGTTCTTTTATCAGAGTACACAGTTTTTATTTTAGCTTGTTTACATAGTCTCCAATTTAGTCCATCATTCCAAACTCAACCCCATTTACTTTGCTATTTGGTAAAATATGGTAGGATGAACTCTGGATTGGAAGTAAAGTCATTTGTTATTTTTGTTTTTCTTTTTTATTTATTTATTTTTACATTTGTTCCAATAAGTTGTACATGACAGTAGAATGCATTTTGACACATACATAAATGGAACAACTTCTTATTCCACTGGCTGTACATGGTACAAAGTCACACCAGTAGTGTATATAAGGTATACACTATATATAAAGTGTATAATGTATGTGGGGAATAATGTGTATCTCATTCTACCATCTTTCCCATCCCCGCAGCCCCACCCCTCCCCTTGCTCCCCTCTGAAAATCCAAAGTTCCTTCATTCTTCCCTACCCACTCCCACTATGGATCATCATGCACTTATCAGAGGAAACATTTGGCATTTGTTTGGGGGGTGGGGACTGGCTTGTTCCACTTAGAACAATATTCTGTAGTTCCATCCATTTCTCTGCAAATGCCATCATGTCATTCTTCTTTAAGACTGAATAATATTCCATTATGTATATGTAGCACATTTTCTTTATCTATTCATCTGTTGAAGGGCATCTAGGTTGGTTCCATAGTTTAGCTATTGTGAATTGAGCTGCTATAAATATAGATGTGGCTGCATCACTGTGGTTTGCCAATTTTAAGTCCTTTGGGTATAAACTGAGGAGTTGGGATAGCTGGGTTAGAGGAAAGTTTTTGAGTCAACCATGAGAAAGAACATTTTAATAAGCAGAACTTGCTTAAAATGGATAGTACTATTAAAGATATGAAATTGTGTTTATGGCCTTTGAAATTAAATTGTACTACCTCTGTACTTATGAATATTGTGTATCAAAAAGAAGTAAGGTTAAATAGGAAAAAGGCAGATCAAAGAACCACATGATAGTATCCTTCATATTAATATTTTGTGTCTCTAGTTCTGTGTTTAATTGTGTATAACTACGGCTGCCCCCTCCATATCGGTGAATTAAAACAGCCATGGATTTAAAATATTTTTTAAAAAATTGTGTATGTACTGAACATGTACAAAATTTTTTCTTTGTCATTATTCCCTAAATAACATAATAATCTCTGTATGCACAGCCTTTATATTAGAAATTGTAATCTAGAGAAGGCTTAAGATCTACAGGTAGATGTGCATAGGTTATATGCTAATATTATGTCATTTTATATAAATGATTTAAGCACCAAGATATTTTGGCAGCCTGTCGGGGATGGCTGTTGTTCTGGAAGCAATCCCCCTCAGGATACTAAGAGACAACTCTGTTTAGGAGGCTGTTTCCACTGGGTGTGGTAGTACCCAACTGTAATTTCAGTAGCGTGGGAGGCAGGCCCACATTCAAGGCCAGCCTCAGCAACTTATCAAGGCCTTCTCTCAAAACTAGGGGCTGGGGTTGTTGCTCAGCGGTAGAGCGCTCACCTAGCACGTATGAGGCCCTGGGTTCCATCCTCAGCACCATAAAAGTAAATAAAGGTATTTTTTTTTTTAAAGCATTTAAAAAAATAAAAATGGTTGAGGATGTAGCTCAGTAGTAAAACCCTCCTGGGTTCAATCCTCAGCACACCTCCCCCCCCCCCCCCCAAGACTGCCACATGTGTTCAATATATCGAGTTAGGCAGTACTTGATTTTTTTTCATAATTTTCTATATTGTATTTTTTACAATAAGGATGTTTGAAATGTATCACCAAAATCTACCTTAACCTCTTTGTAATACATCCATTCAAAATTAACATAAAAACTTTAAAGAGTTCTGGTGGGAAAGTGAAATGGGTTGCCGTAGGTAGACTATCATTTGAAAGTATATTGGTAGTAGTTGGGGAAATGTTTAGGAGATAGAACTACATCTCCTCCAAGGCCTAGAACGTCTTCCATTCTCAAATGTTACTTTAATTACCTTTTTAGAAATGTGATATAATAAAAAGTAAATATTTCATCTTTGTCTCATTTCTTAGCATAATTCCTAAGAAATGCTTGGAATATTCAAAGTGGTAACTGTCTTTTTGCTCAAGACACTGAATAACAAGACAACCTTTAGACCACACCTGGGTTTGTGATGTAAAGGTGAGGTTGGTGGCGCCTCTAAATATCCTCGTAAGCTAGTCATCAGAAAGACCAAACAGTAGATTAAGTATTTGGAACTTTTTAGCTCCCGCTTACTAGCCAGGGGACTAGGGAAATCTGGAGATTGAACTCGTAATTTGATGAGCTTCCAGGTTAGTAGATATATTGACATGCTGGGAGAGTGGCATGCCCAGGGACTTAATGGAATTTTTGAGCCTACTCCGCGCTTTGTCCTATTCATCTCTTTCATTTGGTTCTCTGTTAAGTGCTTTATGATAAACACTGATACAAAGCAAAAGTGGAACTGGGGCTATACATCAGCCCTAGTATGCATGAGGCCCTGAGTTTCATCCCCCGCACTAGGGAGAAAAATAACAAACTGAGTTCTGTGAATCATTTTAGCAAATTATCAAACCATGTATGTGGGTGTCATGCAAAACTTTTTTTTTTTTTTTTTTAGAACAGGACAGTCTTATGGGACTGAACCTTAAACCTGTTGAGTGATGCTAACCTTGGATAGTTAGTATTAGAATTGGAAAGACCAGTTTTTTAAAAACGAATCAAGATTTGGACATAAGATCTTTTTAGGTGAATTTTTCTTTATTTGTCTACAGGTTATTAGTCAGTGGTTTTTGCTACACTCAAAGAGTTGTGCATCCATCACCACAACCAATTTTATAACATTTTCATCAACCCAAAAAGAAACCCTTTACCCATAAGCCATCGCTTCTATATTTCCATAGTTCTCACACACACAATTTGCCTGAAGCCACCAATCCGTTTACTGTATGAATTAGGCTATTTGGAACACATTAAAAATGGGGTCATACAATGTGAGTGGCTTTTTATTGTCAAGTAATATTCTATTTTAAAGATACATAATTTTTCCATTCATCATTTGGTGGACACTTGGCTTGTATTTACTTTGGGGCTATTAATATCTGATGAGAGGACTCAAGAATGTTGGTTATCAAGATAAGCAGTATCCAAACTTTTTTTGTGGGAATGTCCTAATCCAGGGACCTTTGACCAGCTGCCTATTTTAGAGGAATGCAGCCATACCCACTCTTTGATTGATGCGCATTACAGATTCTTTAGAGCTGCAGTTATCCAGCAATGGCAGAGTCAAATAATTAGAAATCTTCACTTGAAATAATAGCCTTGGGGGGCTGGGGATGTGGCTCAAGCGGTAACGCGCTCACCTGGCATGCGTGCGGCCCGGGTTCAATCCTCAGCACCACATACAAACAAAGATGTGTCCGCCGAAAACTAAAAAGTAAATATTAAAAAATTTTCTCTCTCTCTCTAAAAAAAAAAAAAGAAAAAGAAAGAAAGAAAAGAAAACAAAAAAAAAGAAATAATAGTCTTGGGCTGGGGATATAGCTCAGTTGGTAGAGTGTTTGCCTCGAATGCACAAGGCCATGGGTTCAATCCCCAGCACCACCAAAAGAAAGAGAGAGGGAGAGAAAGAAAGAATAGCCTTCATGTTTACTAAATATCCGTTTTTTCTTGTTTTTGCCAGGCAGAGAACATCTATAATGATGAAGATCCTGAAGGAAGCGTGGATCCTGAAGGACAAGGATCTTAGATGTGTCTGCACTTGTGATTTTAGACTCCCCTTTTTTCCCTCTCAACCCTGAGATTGATTTAACACTGGTTTTGAGAGAGAGACTTTGTTCAGCTATCCCTCTATATAGGTACCACCAACAATTGCTATTAGCCCAAACAGTGGGTGTTTTCTAAATATTAACTGGGATACTTTATTCAGCAAAGCCAGACTTATTTAAATTTTGTTCAGGAATTTTCTAGTAACAAACCCGGGTCTAAAGTAGCTACAGAAAGGGGAATATTATGTGTGGTTATTTTTCTTCTTAAGCTATATCCCCAAGTTTTTTGGACTCATTTAAGTAAAAGCTAGAGTGAGTAAGGAATAGAGCCAAGTGAGGTAGGTGTCTGAGCCATGAAGTATAAATACCGCAAGATGTCATTTTTATTCAGGAATTAGGGGAGATTCAAGTCATATAGATTCCTACTCTAAAATCTTCACACCTGACTTTCCAGGATGCACATTTTCCTATGTAGACCAGTCTCCTCTTGATTTCTACAGTTAAGTCAAAACTACATGTTCCTCCTTTCCCATATATTTTTGCTTGTTAGTGTATTTCTTGAGCTATTTTCATATTATTCCTTACCTTTATGTGAAATGGTTTTTGTTTTTTTGTTCTTTTTTTTTTTTTTTTTTTAACTTGGGACCACCAAGTTGTAAAGATGTATGTTTTTACCTGACAGTTGTACCACGGGTATACTGTCAAGTTGAGAAGAGTGAATTGATAGCTTGTATGTTTTTAAAATTAAATTAATCCTTGATAAGAGTTGCTTTTTTTTTTTTTTTTTTTAGGAGTTGGTCCTTGACCACTAGTTTGATACCATCTGCATTTTGGGTGACCTGTTTTATCAGCAGGCCTATTACTCCCATGACTAACTGTGTAAGTGCTTATAATGGAATAAATTGCTTTTCTACATAGCCCTATGCCAATGGGTTTTATTTAGTATATAACATCCATCAAACACCCATCCCCTGGCTATCAAGAGTAGAATTAAATATAATAGGCCAAGAGCTATAGAAAAGAGCTTTACTCCTTCCTAGGGAAAAGTGCAAGACATAAAACACAGAACTAGAGGTATACAGACTAATGTGCAATAAAATGACATCTTTTTGAAGTCTGACCCCAGAGAACAACACAGACTCTTTAAAAAATTTTCAAAGGCAGTGTGGTTTAAGGCAGAATTTAAATTTGGGAAAGGTATTTAAGGCTTATCTCACAGGGTTGCCTCTCCCTAGTATGTTTTTCACTGGAGGTTGTACTTAGAGGTTAGAAACAACAGGTTCTAAAATCCTTTATCACCAAATGCCAAAACAAGATAACATGCCGATTCTTTCCAGTCACTTAGTTTTGTTTTGGCGGAATAGACCCCAAAACTCTAAAGGTCTTTGGGAAATCTGAAATCTTACACCATGAGGTTCAAATCTGGATGGGTTCCTTTTCTCCAAGTCAGTTATTTCAGAGTATAGTGAAAATTATTTTGACACAATTTTTAAGAATATACCATGTGAATATGTATAGCCCTTAAGAAAAAGTAAACTATATAAGAGGATTCATTTAAAATCTAACACTCATGGCACAAAAGAATTCTAACTGTAAACCCACATAAGGAAAATCAGTTGCCTTTTTGACCCCAGTTTTGTTCCAAACATGTTTTTGGTTTGGGTAAACATAAGGCAAAATACATTTTTCACAATATTTCAAGATGTGTCCATACGTTCATCATTTACTCTGCATGTGAGGGTTGCTGCTGGCAGATAAAAGGCATTTTTCCATTCCTCAGTGTATTGAGATCAGTATCAGCAGCCTACAAAATAGGATCCAGCTAAAAGTTGACTGGTGTTCTGCTTCCAGCCACTCCTAAAATCTTTTTACACAGTTCAGCCAATATTTGCAATTTCCACAGGTGAATTGCTCATCAAATTCTGGTACTCTCGTCGGTTTGGGAAGAAGTGTGTCAAAAGGGTATTCAGTGATCCTTTGCTAATAAGTTTTTTTTGTTTCTGGGTTACAGATTTGGCCATACATTTCTAAACAGCCCCTGTAAGGTTAAGGAAAAGAAAAAGAATAAGTTTATACTTTCTACAACTTGAAATGCTACCATTAGAAATATTGAACTTCTAAAGTTAGTTTATACAGGCTATGTTGACAAATATAATTTACATATGATCAGGGGTGACGTTGCCCTAGCAAATATTTAGAAGCCTCATATTTGCCAAACAACGAATGGTTATCTATATGATGGTGAAGACTGGGGTAGTTAAAATTTCTCTCAGGAATACTTCACATGAGTATTTTTCCTCCCTCTTCCCAGTCCTGGGGAATTGAACTCAGAGGGGCTTTTACTACTAAGCCACATCCCTGGCCTTATTTTGAGACAGGGCCTTAGTACATTGCTGAGACTGGCCTCAAACTTTGGATACTCCTAACTCCTACCTCAGCCTCCTGAGCCACTGGGATTACAGGCACATGCCACTGTACCTGGCCACTTTCATTTCTTTAGAAATGAGCATTGTCTTTTTTTTCCTGTTCATACAGAGGTATTTGACAGATCATTGCCCCCAATTTGTAGTTAATCCAACAATAAGCATAATTATATCTAGATAAGACACAGTAAAAGTCCTAGAAAGTAAAGAGCATTGGCTCCAATAGTTACTTGTGATTTTGTATCCAAGATGTAAGTTTAAGTAGGAAATAAATGGAAGAAATGGGTATTGATACAGTACACAACTGACAGACTTTTTAAGGGAATTTAGACTTTATGTATATAAAGAATAAGGACATGTTATAAGATACCAGGGGTCTGGAATAATTCATTATTAAGAAAAATACTTTCAGTTTTGCTAGGCCCTGTCTGTGAAATACAGCTTTATGATTTACTTAATTTAGCCCTGTTGTTGGCCACCTTTGTCATGGTCTGAATTTGATAGCACAGCTGCCTTCTGATTTATACTGGGGAAACTGAACAGGAGGTGTGGGTGGGGTAGGGTAAAGAACTGAGAATGCTCAGAGCCTAGGTGTTTTATCTGTTTACAGATTTCCTAATGGTAATTAGGTAATATTAGGGGTGGGGAAAAAAAGACAATAATTAGTATTGTTAGAAAAGCAGAAACAAGGGGCTGGGGATGTGGCTCAAGCGGTAGCGCGCTCGCCTGGCATGCGTGCGGCCCGGGTTCGATCCTCAGCACCACATACAAACAAAGATGTTGTGTCAGCCAAGAACTAAAAAATAAATATTTTAAAAAAAAGAAAAAGAAAAGCAGAAACAACACAAATACCACTCTATCACCCACAAAGATCACCTTGAGACTGTGTCTCGATTCCACCTGCCTGAGAAGTGGGAGCATCAGCCTGTTCCAGGCTCTTGGGAAGCATAGCCCTTTAAAAAGAGAGAGCCATTTTCCATCTGTTCCTGGATGAGCACAATTTGAAAATCATTTCCCAAATCATTTCTTGTTTTCTACTGTGAAGTGAAATTTTTCCTGAGCCTTCCCCCTCCCCTCAACTAATGTTAGATGAGATTTGAGTGGCAGCAAAAACTGACTTATAAGTTGAGAGCTCTTCAGCAAGACTGATCCTTAGCTGCTCCATCTCTTTGTTCTTCTGTTGCTGGAGTTGCACTCCACTTCTTAACTGCCTCTGTCGTTCTTCCATTTCCTCCAGCTGTTCCTGCATGGAAAGGCCAAGAATATTTCTAATGAGCCAACAAAAATTTGATGTTACTCATCATAGTTTATAAATCACTTTCTTTTCTTGTACATTGTTTAATCTTCACAGCAGTGTTGAGACTTGTATCATCTTGATAGTAAAAGTTAGGCAACTTAAGATCAAATAGGTTGTATTTTAACATAGTGAACTGCTTTTGAAAATGGTGGCTTGACTGAGGGTGGTAGCTCATGCCTCTAATCCCCAGCCCCTCAGGAGGTGAGGCAGAAGGATTAAGAATTCAAGGCCCCAGCAACTGGCTGACATTCTTAAAATTTTTTTCCTCTAACTACTTTTCCTTTTAGGAACCTATTAAAGTTTATTTTTATCTTTGTAAAGGCTTAAAGGACGTTAAGGATTTATCTGTACTTCCTTCATAAATTGTTTACCAGATTTCAGGTTTTAAAGATTATTTCAATACTGAAACCAAATTCAACATTTGTATGAGGAAAAAATAATGTGTGTGTAGATTTTTTTTTTTTTTTTTTTTTTAATGCTGCGGCCTTGCATGGCGGCACATACCTGTAAAACCCAGAGGCTAGGAGGCTGAGAGGTAGAAGGAGCAAGTTCAGAGTCAACCTCAGCAATTTAGCAAGGTTCTAAGCAACTTGGACCCTGTCTTAAAATAAAAAGGGTAGTTCTGGGGATCAAACCCAGGGCCTTGTACATGCTGGGTAAGTGCTACTTCTTAGCTACATCTCCAGCCTTGTTCAAAAGTTCTAAGTTGGGCCAGCTGTGGTGGCACATGCCTGTAATGTAGATACTCAGGAGATCCCAAGTTTAAGGCCAGCCTGAGAACTTAGCAAGATCCTGTCTTAAAGGATCTTTTTGTTGTTGTTGTTTCTTAATTAAGAAAAAATAGGAGCTGGTCCTACTTTAACTCAGGTTAAGCACCCCTGGGTTTGATCCAGAGTAATGGAAAAAAAGTTCTAAGTTGGAAAATGTGATACTATGCCTAGGAGGAGTCCCTTCAGCCCTCAAGATAAGTGTCCACTTCCCTTTCTGCCAAGAACAGTCTGAGGTGCATTCTATAAATTGTCCCTGCCTCAGATTAATGCCTGGAAAGGCAGTAAGGGAGATGTCAGGCAAATAAGTCATTGGCTTAGCTGGTAACTGGCTTGGAACCTTAAAGCCCTGGGGGAGGGAAAGGGTGTTGACATGGAAAGGTATATTGTAAAGGGGCAGACTGAAGAATACTAAATAGGAATCCAGTTGGGGCACATGCTATTATTAGAGGGATCTAAATAAACTGTTCTGAGACAGCCTTGAATACTGCACCTATGGTACATGAATCTTCATTTGATGATTTTGCTGAATCTCAGCTTTTGTCAGCACTATCAAAGGCTATTTCTTTTACTACCCCACCATGCCTGGGCACAACTCTAAAAAGATGCAACCTTACCAACCAAGTGTCATCTAAAGGGAGCCATCTTTACACTACTGCCCTGATTTACCACGCCTCATTACCTAGTAAATCTATTGGTGAGACAGAAATATGTGGTTGTGAAAGCAGTCTGTACCATCAGAAATTAGCTCTAACAGACTGGAACAGCCTCACTGAAATGAATCCATATAGTGGCAGTGAGGACTGTCTTCAGTTTTAATCCTATGTAATATGCTGCTAGCTGGGCATGGTGGTGCATACCTGTAATCCCAGCAAAAGGGGGCTGAGGTAGAATGTAAGTTCAAGGCCAGCTTCAGCAAATTAGTGAGAGAACCCTGTCCAAAATTAAATAAAATTGTTATCTCAAAATCCTAAAGCTTTCCATTTTATTTAGGGGCATTCAGACCCTTTGGTTTAAACCTACATTACTTTTTTTTTGGGGGGGGGGGGTGTAAATTACCAAGGCTGGGCTTAGATTTTGTAATCCTTTTGCCCCAGCCTCCAACATAGCTGGGTGTGGTGGGGCACACCTGTAATCTCCTGGATCCATTCTTACATGAGAATATTTTTCTCTCACCTTGAGCTGTCCAATAGGGAAGCCACTAATATGTGATTGAGTATTTGAAATATAGCTAGTCTGAATTGAGCTGTGCTGTGGATGTAAATAAAACAGATTTCTAAGAATAATAGTAAAATATTTATGTTGAAGTAAGTACATTTTTATGTTGGATTAATTTCATCTTTTTTGGGGGGTAGGGGGGAATACTGGGGATTGAACCCCAAGGGCGTTTTGTTACTGAGTTGCATTCTAGCCCCCTCCCCCTCTTTTTTTGGTTCCAGGAGTGCTTTACCACTGAGCCACATCCCCAGCCCTTTTTTTATATTTTAGAGACAGGGTCTTGCTGAGTTGCTTAGGACTTCGCTAAGTTGCTCAAGCTGGCTTTGAATCCAAGTTTCTCCTGCACCACTGGGATTACAGGTATGCATCCCCTCACCCGGTTATACCCAACCGCCTTTTTGATTTTTTAGTTTTGAGACAGGATCTTTTCATATGAGTTGCTGAGTCTTGCCCCGAACTTATTATTTTGCCTCAACCTCCCAAATTGCTGGGATTGAATGTGTGAGCCACCATATTTGGCTTCACATGTTTCTTACATTTTTAATGTGGCCATTAGAAAAAATGACACTGTAGTTTGCATGTCAGTTGGTAATGCCTTTGCTCCTTGCTACTTATCACCAAGACAGCTTGACTCATTCTCTGCCTTCCCCTGCCTACACTTTACCCATTATCTGAGGATTAGTACGTGTCTCTATAGTAGCCTCCAAACCAAATCTGACAAAGGTGTACTTTCTTTTGGCAGTATTCCTAATAGTTTCTACGTAGGTACTTACTCAAGCTGAAGACAGAAAAGATACATTCTCTATCTCAGGAGAGGGGTATGGATAGAACAATGGTAACATGTAATAGGTGCTTTGAAAACAAAAAGGGCAGGGCTGGGGATGTGGCTCAAGTGGTAACGCACTCGCCTAGCATGTGTGAGGCACTGGGTTTGATTCTCGGCACCACATAAAAATATTGTGTCCACCTAAAATAAAAAAAATAAATATTTTTTTTTTAAAAGTGCATCTGTTGCACAATAAGAATTATTAGGGGACTGAGATTGTGGCTCAGCAGTAGAGCGCTTGCCTATCACGGGCAGGGCCTACCATGTGTGAGTCACTGGGTTCGATTTTAGCACCACATATAGACAAAACAAAGGTCCATCAACAATTAATAAATAAAATGAAGGTATTGTGGGGCTGGGGTTGTGGCTCAAGTGGTAGCGCGCTGGCCTGGCATGTGCGAGGTACTGGGTTCAATCCTTAGCACCACATAAAAATAAGTAAAGATATTGTGTCCACCTAAAACAAAAAAATAAATAAATTTAAAAAATTTTTTTAAGGGGCTGGGGATGTGGCTCAAGCAGTAGCGCGCTCGCCTGGTGTGCGTGCGGCCCGGGTTTGATCCTCAGCACCACATACCAACAAAGATGTTGTGTCCGCCAAAAGCTAAAATGAATATTAAAAAATTTTAAAAAAAATTTTTTTAAATAAAGGTATTGTGTCTGTCCATCTACACCTAAAAAAATAAATATTTCAAAAACAATTATTAGGGAGGGGCTGAGGCTGTAGCTCAATGGCAGAGTGCTTGCCTTGTACATGTGAGGCACTGGGTTTGATCTTCAACACCACATAAAAGCAAACTAAAGGCATGCTGTCCGTCTACAACTACAAAATTTTATATATATATAAATATATAAGGGAAAACAGGACGAATCAGACAAGGGCTTAAAGAAGAGTAAGAATTAGGTAACGGGCTGGCATGTGTGAAGCACTGGGTTTGATCTCAGCACTACATATAAAAAGTAAATAAGGGTCCAAAAAGAATTAGGTAATGAATAGGCTAATGCAGGAGGATTGCAAGTTTGATGTCAGCCTCACAAGTTGGCAAGCTGACTCAAAATTGAAAAAGAAAAGCCAGGGGATATAGCCCAGTGTTCAATCCCTTGTACCACTACCACCAAAAAAAAAAAAAGGTACCAGGCATGAAATCGTGGGAAATGTGGTGTCTCACTGGAACTGCAGGTGATTTAGGGATGGCTAAAACACAAGGTGGTTGTGAGAGGGTGAAAGAAAATGTGGCCGTGGCTTTTAGCATCTGCCCCCTTATTACATTGCCTTTTTTTTTTTGGTAACCCATGTGTAACTCCCAAATCTGATTGTAGGTTCTTATGTCTTACCACATCTAGTGCCCTACGTTTGTTGGTATGAAATATGCCGATGGTAAATATATTCCATATTAAAGCAGTGACTAAACTAAAAACTTTGATATCATCCTCAGCAAATCTCCAATCCCACCTACTGCAAGCTGTCACCAAATCCTACCAGTTTGACCTCAAAAACCTCCATATTCTCTCATAAGATCTAAGTGGTCTTTCCACACTCTCAACTTACCATCCAAAGTGCTGCCTCAGGAGTGCATATTAGCTGTGCAAGAGTTTTGTAGATACTAATTTATTAGCTCACTCCTTGCAACCTTATGATTTGATAGATTAATCCCATTTTATATGTGAGGGAGCTGAACCACAGAGCTTAAGCATCTAGTTTCCCAGTTAGTTATTGAGCCAGGATTTGCTGTTAACTTAAGAGTTCATACTCCTGCAACTCCATTTTTATCATTCAGAGATGGCAGGCTCTTTCTACAGAAAAACTGATGGTGGAAGGCCAGGCAGGGGCCAAACAAGTGCCCTTGCTACTCTTTCACCTATTGTGTATAAAATAAAGTGCTGGGGGAGTAGCTCAATGATAAGAGTGCTTACCTAGTAAAATTTGTTTTTCGAAAGGGTCTGCCTTCAAAGAAAATCTTTTTACACTCTGATCCCAGTCTGCCTCCCCAGCTTCATGCCTACTACTTGATTTCTTTGTGATTCAGCCACACTGAGCTCACTTCCCAAAACGAAGTGTCCTTTTGCATCTCTTTGCTTTGGTATGAACTGTTCCCTCTGTCTAGAATACCGTTCCCTACCTTCTCAATGACTTC